ACGCCGCACCGACCGACTCAAGCCCAACGAGGTCGGTCGCAGCAGCAAAGGAAACAGAGGGCAAAATGGGGGAGGGGGAACACCCCTCAAAGATGGGGGTGCGAGGGTCACCACGAGAGGCTCCTACAGCGACTATGCTCTTCTCCGCTGCTAGGAGGGCCTTCTCGAGGAGGTCAGCGGTGAGGGTGGTGGGGCAAACTGAGAGGAAGTGGTCCCTGACTACGCGAAGGGAGTCAGGGAGGCGGGTGACTATGTAGTAGAGAGTGATGTACATGGGGGGGGGGGGGTTCTTGGCGCAGAACTCAGCAGGAAGCGCAGCGCGGTAGCGAGTGTCACTAGTGCGGAGGTGCGTAATGAGGTCAGCGACTGTGCGAAAGGCAGCAAGGTCAGGGAAGAGGTACGGTAGCATGAGGCGGCTCAGTGCAGCAGTGGCAGGGGAGGAGTAGCGTGCAACTACAGCGTCGTACAAGGTCTGAGCACTCTTGTAGTGGCTAAAGTGCGCACGCTCAGAGGTAGGCAGGTGGCGACGCACAGCAAGACGTGCAGCAGCATCGCGTGTGGCCCACTGTGAGCAAACAGTGGCGTCAGCATCAGCAGCAGGGGCAGGAGAGGCACGAGAGGTGAGGTCAAAGAGGGAGAGGCCGTCTGCCCTATCGCACTGTAGGAAAAGCTGCAGGTCATCTACCCAGACAGCAAAGACAATGGCCCGACCCTCAGCGTCAAAAGCGAGGACACTAGGGGTAGCCATGACAGCGGTAGACTAGTAGCGCGAACAGTGGGGTAAGGGCAGTGCAGTGACAGAGGCTCTGCTCTTACCGGACAGGGTGGCTCGGGCGGTTCGGCGGCTTGGCAGCTCGGCAGGAACTGCAGCTCGGCGGCTCGGCTACTGTGCGGCTCGAGCGGCTCGGGCGGCTCGGGCGGCTCGGGCGGCTCAGGCGACTCGGGCGGCTCGGGCAGCTCGGCGGGACGGCGGCTCGGGCGGCTTGGGCGGCTCGGGCGGCTCAGGCAGCTCGGCGGGACGGCGGCTCGGGTGGCGCTGGCGGCTCGGCAGTAGCTCGGCGGAGCCGCGTGAAGGCGGGGTCGGGGCCGGGAAGGGCGTGCGACGGGGCCAGCAGGGGCTGGGCCGGGGCCGGGAAGGGGCGGCGCCGGGGCCGTAGGGTAGGCGACGGGGCCAACAGAGGTCGGGCCGGGTCGGGAAGGGCGGCGTCGGGGCCGAGAAAGGGCGGCGCCTGAGCCGGGAAGGGCAGCGACGGGGCCGCAGGTAGGCGGCGGGGCCGCAGGTAGGCGACGGGGCCGCAGGTAGGCGGCGGGGCCGCAGGTAGGCGGTGGGGCCGCAGGTAGGCGGCGGGGCCGCAGGTAGGCGACGGGGCCTCAGGTAGGCGACGGGGCCTCAGGTAGGCGGCGGGGCCGCAGGTAGGCGGCGGGGCCGCAGGTAGGCGACGGGGCCGCACGTAGGCGACGGGGCCGCAGGGGCGGGGTCGGGTCGGGAAGGGCGGCGCGAGGGCCGCGGGGTAGGCGACGAGGCCGAAAGGGCGGCGAATCGGGGCCGGGAAGGGCGGCTCGAGGGCCGCGGGGTAGGCGACGGGGCCGCTAGGGCGGCGGATCGGGGCCGTCAAGGGCGGCGCGACACAGCCGCTAGGGCGGCGCGACACAGTGAGAAAGGGGGAGCGCGACTCGGGCAAGGGCTGAGCGCGCTCCGGGCAGGAAAAAAAAAATCGAATCGGTGGGCCCTAGGAACAGTTCCCACGAGGGAACCTGCTCGATACCATGAGAAAACTGAAACGAGAAAAATGATGCACTATGGAAGAGTTGGGTACAATTACTAACCCTAATTGGGTTGTACCCTATATGGGCTACCCCACTACAGCCTACACAAAAGCATAAGCTACAATGTTCTGACAAATATATGGGGTACAACACATTTCTAGGGTTTGTACTTGTACCCAACCTTTTCTCTGTCAGTAGATCTGCACTGTGGATGCCCGATTGATCTTGGAGAGGGTTACAGGCGCGTTCGCCTGGGGGGTTATGGGCGCACTGACCCGCTACTGAAACAAGCCCTTTTATCCCAATGGTCTAGTGGTTGGGATTCTGACATGGTATCAGGGCGGTCTCGAGTTCGAATCCCGGTGTATGCACATGTAGGCCGGTGCCGCTCTGCTTAGTCCTGGGCCTCCCAGTGTGGGGGGGTGTCAGTAGATCTGCACTGTGGATGCTCGATTGATCCTGGAGAGGGTTACAGGCGCGTTCGCCTGGGGGGTTATGGGCGCACTGACCCGCTACTGAAACAAGCCCTTTTATCCCAATGGTCTAGTGGTTGGGATTCTGACATTCTCTAGTCAATCATTCTTCGTTCTTTCACAACAGATAGAGGTACAATGATATAAATAGCATACTAGCTAGCCATATACTCTGAGGGGTGCACTCCTTTATTAACTGTATTCCATTGCTACAGAAAGCACGACTATTGCTCTTCTCGACAGTTACCATGTTGCAGCGCGTAACTGCCGTGCGGTTAATGAACGGTCAAGAGTGACGACCGTTGACTGTTTTCGACTGTCGACCTTCAGGTAACTCTCAGTCTTTCGCATGCTCTATATGCGCTATTGCGGCACTGGTACTGCGCGTTGTTCCGTTATGGAGTGACAAGTTGGTAAAGAACCTTCGGGAATGTTATAATAACCTTTCTGTTATACCAACATATATTATTTACTCATATGATTAAAATGTCATGTAAATATTTTAGTACTTATCGAAAGCATTGGCCGTAGCTGTATCACCTTCGTATGTATTTATTTAAAGGAAAATTTGCAGTGATCGATGTTATTATATGCATGAATTCGATTTTGTTTTATTATTTGATCGTGGATGTTTTGAACTATATATGATTGTATCAATCAGTTACAGTATTGGTAACAGGTTAGAAATTGTTGGACGTGTTGACTTCATACGCAACAACCACCTTGCGGTAACCTACTTGAGGGTTACCTCGGGACAAGATTAGGGTTAGTTAAAGGTTACCTAGCCCCCCTACTTTTTTTAGAAGCTGTCCGGTGTGCCGTGCGCGTAGCTGCACGCGCGCCGCAGCGTGCCGCAGCGTGCCGCGCGCTTCTCGTGCGTGCCAGTGCGCGCAGCGGCAATCCAATGGCGGACGCGAGCCAATCCGCTGCGGGCAGCGCTGTGCCGGACAGAGAAGAAGCGGGGGGGTCGCAAGGCGGGGATGCTTTCGCTGATCAGTCGTCCGCGGCAGGTGCTGCGTGGGACGCTGCAGCGGTGCGGGCGGACGCGTCGGGGGCAGCGGCGCCCAGAGAGTCGTGCATCAAACACATCGATGCCATCTGGTTCTGCTACTGTGAGCGCCCTGCTGCTACTGCATGGGTGTGAAGAGCATGCTGTGTGGAAATGCGTCACATGAGTGCAAGCATGTGCTGCTCCGCTCTTGAGTTGCTCTGCTGTACGTTGCGCTTGCCTCAGTCCATGCCACGACACCACTGCACCCATGCCGTGATTGCTGCTTGTGATATTTGCTCTCTGTCACCCATGCTTTGCCCCGCTCCGCCTCCTTTTCCCCATGGCCGCGGCGTGGATCAGCGCCGGTTTACCAGACAACGCAGTACTACCGCGAGGGCACGTTTGACTCGTGCCTCGGCAAGTGGGGCGACCTTTGGGACTGCATGCTGCTGCGCACCGCTGCTGCCCCCTCCGTGCTGGTCAGTGCTGCCCCTCTGCACTGCCGCCACCCGCCTGGTCTCGCCACGCCCATGTGCCCATGCTCCCATGCGCCCATGCGCCCATGCACCCATCACTGCCACCTGCCAGCTCATCACTGCTCTCAATCGGCCCACGTTGCCTCCGTTTTCCGTGCTGCTGCGTGCCTGCACTGTCACGTGCGTGCATGGATCTGCGAGGCCTGCCTCATGGGCAGAGGGAGGCGTTGAGAGAGCAAGTGATGCACTGGCCAGTCGCCCAATCCACTTACGAGCACCCTGCTTCAGCGTGCCATGAAGCTTCCGTGCTGCTCCCCTCTTGACCTTCATGCACCGCTGGGCTTCCCCTTGGATGATGCTGTTGCATGAGCACAACCCATGGCACCATTGCACGTGCCCAACTCCACCTCCCTGCTGCCTGCTTCCCTGCTTGTCCTCTTCCCCCACACGCCAATCACCCAATGCTCCACGGGCCTCACCTGCGTGCCAGGCTCGGCGCAAGGAGAGGCGCGATCACCAGGGCCCTCCGCCGGCGCACATCTGGCAGATGCGCTCGCCAGAGGAAGCAAGGAAGTTCTGGGAGCAGGAGTTTGGAGAGAAGTCCCAGGACTTTTAGGTTTGGTGAGGCCATTTTCTGTTTTACTAGAGGCCATTTTGTATACCGTATATTGAAATATTGGCTCACATAGAGTCTTCATTCCCAGAGTTTTTACTTGGTTTCCTAGGAACCCTAGTGTTCTCTGCCTCCTACCGTAGATCTCATTGCACCGAGGCGGCTGAGGAGGCGCCTAGAGGCCATTTTACACAACACCTCTCGCCTGCCCTATCGATGCTAGCTGAGGCGCCTCAGCAATAATGTAACGCCTGTAACTGGCACAACTTTAGGATAGATAGCAGCTCGCCTTGCCCCGTGCCAAGAGAGTGAGCGGATCACCCGGGACGACGGCCATACTTGCCCACCTAATGTAGGCTGACCATCCGGGCAAACGACACCAGATTGGCAGAAAACCCTCTGGGGACAGAGGTTGCAACGGGAAGTCATTCGACACCAAATTAGCCACATTGAGCAACATATTGCACATCTACGCATTCTACTAGCAAATATCGCACCTAACACACGGAAGCCAAGCCTGAGAGTAGAAACTAAGTAGCAGCGCGCCTGACGAGGATCTACAACGAGGCCATCATCGCCTCCTCCTACGAGCTAATAGCTTGGGCGGCGCAGACCCGAATCACTCAGGGAGAGTCGAGGGCATCCTGAGAGCGTAGCGCCTAGCACGTGGGGCGGCGCAGTTAGTAGCTCTTGCAGCACACGAAAGCGCCGTTCTTCTGGCAGCAGCCGCCCTTCTTGCAGCACTTGTCGCCGCCACAGCACGGGTACTCGGGGCTCTGCGCGGTGCACGTGTACACGCGCGTGTTGGGGAAAGGGCGCAAGCAGAGAGGTAGGTTAAGCGTTGCGCATCGCGAGTCGCCACGGCGGCACGAGAGGAAAGGAAAAGGAGTGATAAGGGGACAAAGGCATCCAGGTGAATGAATGGAGCAGGGTTCTAGGCGATGACGGTCGGAGGAAGGAAACGAATAAACACAATGCAGCACGTGCCGCCGCAGATAGTGGTTCCGTTTCAGAGCAACTTACAATGCAGCACGCGCCGCCGCAGTACTCCTTCGCCGGCGAGTTGCCCGACTTGCCGGCATAGGGGCAGTAACCGGAGCCGTCGCCAGCCGCGTTACGGCGCTTCTTATGCTTCGGCTTGTACGCGCCGCCCTTGCTTCCGGTTGCTGCGCCGCTAGTTCCGGCCAGGATGCGACGCTCTACGACTTCGCTGAGATCGTCGCCGAGAAATTCTGCGACTTCATCGGCAGCATCGTCGAAGGTGAACTCGTCGTTCGCAATCGCCGCTTCGACGTCGGAGGCGGCGGTGCGCGCGGGCAGCAGGTGCAGAACGAGGGCCGCTGCGAGGAGCGCAAGAAGCGAGAAGCGGAGGGCGTTCATCCTGTTCTATCCGCGTGGGAAAGTAGCGACTAGCTAAGCTGGAGTTAACGACTAGCTAAGGATTGCTGTCAGGTGGTACTGATTGCTTACTGTTGAATGATATGATATATTTCGAAAGCAGCGCTCCTCTTTGTATCTGACTTACAGTTTCCGGTCGAGGCGCGATGCTGCACCAGTCCGTACCGAGCTGTGGGAAAGACCACCACACCACACCATGTGACCCGAATCAAACGCGATTGGGCTGTGGGTGAAAAAGCGGCTCGATTGCGTTTGTCGCGAGCGTGGGTGTCGTGTGTAGTGTGTACGTGTTCGTGCTGCTTCTCGTGCGGGTGAGCATTGAGAAGTGCGTGCTTGTGTGGAGAGGCGCACGCCGCTGCTTGCGTCGTGCATCAAGAAATGTGGGGGCGTCCATGGCTCACGAAGAGGGTGTACATCTGGATTTTCTTGGACCACTACAGATTGCTGTTCCCGCATTTATGAATTTTGGAGGAGACGGTTTTTGTGTGTTCAAAATTTTTTATACAAATTACTGTCTTGGAGACTTCCAAAACTCAAAATGGGATGTATGGTAAAGGGAATTATATTGTAAGGAAAATTCCTTTTCCTTAATCCGCGCCTCTGCTTAACGCGTACACGTTTGTTCCCGCCAACAGCATCCAAAAGTAAAACGTTACCCGCTCGCGACACTCTCCTCGACCACTGTTCCCGCCACTGTACACCCCGCAACCCAACCTTACGGTTTGGTTGGTAACCCGCGCTCCGGTCCTCCGCCTCGACATTTCCCGGCATCGGCGCCAGACCCGTCGCGCACCACATTCTCGCGCATGACCGTTATCACGCTAGGCTTTTGCTATATATTGTTCGCTCATTCCTTCGCTCATTATAATCTTGCTTTGGTAGTGCAAAGTTCGTTCGCTCACTCAATTGCACTCGTAACAGATTTCATCTGAGAATGATGAATGAGGGCATATACAGGGGGTATGAGTTGCAAATTTGCACCCTCTACAGTGTTGGAAACAATTGACTTAAGCGCCTCTGTCGTGTCGAAACATTAAGTCTATCAGAACATTATAGCTTATGCTTTTGTGTAGGCTGTAGTGGGGTAGCCTATATGGGGTACAACCCAATTAGGGTTAGTACTTGTACCCAACTCTTTCATACTGCATTCATTCTCGTTCATTCTCACATGGTTTCAGAGCACATATGCTCTTGGCCTGTGGGCCCTACTACTGCTTCCGCTGCTACTCGATCTGTCGCACGCCCCGTGGCGTGCGACCTATTTTTCATCTCGGCGCGCGGCGATTTTCTCTCTGGCGCGCGCCCCGAGGCGCGCGGCCCCGTTCCTTCTAGGCACGCCACTCCCCGCTACCGCGTCGCGGCCCCATCTCGTTGCGCCGCCCTAGCGGCCGCGTCGCGCCGCCCTCGCGGCCCCGATCCGCCGCCCTAGCGGCCCCGTCACCTACCCCTGCGGCCCCGGGGCCGCCCATCCCGGCCCCGGCTCCGCCCTTCCTGGCCCCGGCGCCACCTCGGCTGGCCCCGTCGCCTACCCCGGCGACCCCGACGCCGCCCTTCCCGACCCGGCCCCGCCTCTGCTGGCCCCGCCGCCTGCCCCTGCGGCCCCGGCTCTGCCCTTCCTGGCCCCGGCGCCACCTCGGCTGGCCCCGTTGCCTACCCCGGCGACCCCGACGCCGCCCTTCCCGACCCGGCCCCGCCTCTGCTGGCCCCGTCGCCTACCCCTGCGGCCCCGGCGCTGCCCTTCCCGGCCCCGGCGCCACCTCTGCTGGCCCCGACGCCGCCCTTACCGGCCCCGGCGCCGCCTCTACTGGCCCCGTCGCCTACCTCTGCGGCCCCGGCGCCGCCCTTCCCGGCCCCAGCGCCGCCTCTGCTGGCCCCGTCACCTACCCTGCGGCCCCGGCGCCACCTCTGCTGGCCCCGTCGCCGCTCCACCCGGCCCCGCCGCCGTCCCCAAGCGGCCCCGCCGTCACCACCGAGCCGCCGGCGCTACCGAGCTGCTACCGAGCCACCCGAGCCGAAGCGCCACCTGAGCCGCCCGAGCCGCCGTACCGCCGAGCCGCCCGAGCCGCCCGAGCCGCCGAGTCGCCGAGCCGCAGTTGCCGCCCGAGTAGCCCGAGCCGCTGAGCCGCAGTTGCTGCCGAGCCGCCGTGTCGCCGAGCCGCCCGAGCCGCCCGCACCGCCGAGTTGCCGAGTCGCCGAGCCTGCTCTTCCCACCACTGGTGAGCCCCTGCCCTGCTAGAGCGCTGCCCGCCGCTTGCTTACCTGCCTGCCTGCCTTTCGGCCTGCCTGGCTGCCTGCCTTACTACTGCTACTCCTGCTCCTGCTTCTATTGGCGGAGCCAGATGCAGCCCCAGCCACGTCCGCGTGAGTCTCTCACGCCCCAGCAGCTGCGTGAGTGGTACGCTGGTTGGGGTTGTAGGGGTGGCGGCGCTGCTACTGCTACCACTACTGCTGCTACTACTACTGGCGGCGGCCAGATGCAGCTCCAGCGACGCCCACGCGCGTCTCTCACGCCCGAGAAGCTTCGTGAGTGGTACGCTCAGAGTAGAGGGTCTCTCAGTTCTGTTTGCTGCTCTTACTTGATTCGCACTGGTGCTCGGACTGGTCAGCCTTGTAGAACACCTAGTCACACACAGTCCCGCTGCTTCGCCCGTCTGAGCGACGCCTGGCGTACCGAGTTTGGCGACGAGGCTGAGCTCCTCGACTGGGTGGAGTTGCTTAGGCAGAGGGTAGATATATTTGCTCTTGACTATGATGCTATTCTCACTGCCATGTATGCATTGCCTACTAGTGCTGACCGTGCCGGTCACCTGTACGTACCGCCTGACCCGGGTATAGAGCCTACTGCTCTAGCTGCTGGTGAGGCTGCTGCTCTGGGTGCTAGTGAGTCTCCTGCTCCAGGAACAGGTGCGTCTGCTGCTCTAGGTGCTAGTGAGTCTGCTTCCTCAGGTGCGGGTGAGTCTGCTCTCTCAGGTACCGCGTCGGCTCCGGCCTCTCACACCTTCACTCTTGACTCGGGGGCTTCCCGCTCCTTCTTTCGAGACCGCACCACACTCATGCCGCTTGGTCGGCCAGTTGCAGTCTCTCGGGCAGACCCCTCTGGGGGTCCTGTCCTTGCTCACTTCTCCACTTTTCCGCTGCAGACGCTTCACATGGACGTGTGGGGCCCGGCCCGCGTCCGTGGACAGGGTCACGAGCGCTACTTCCTGCTGGTGGTTGACGACTACTCGCGTTACACCACAGTCTTCCCCTTGCGCAGCAAGGGTGATATCACTGAGGTGTTGATCGACTAGATCCGCACAGCTCGTCTCCAGCTCAGGCGGAGCTTCGGCTCGGACTTTCCTGTTCTGCGTCTGCACTCTGATAAAGGCGGAGAGTTCTCCTCTGGCCTTTTGCGAGCCTACTGTCGTGCACAAGGCATCCGCCAGACCTTCACGCTTCCGGACTCTCCACAGCAAAATGGGATTGCTGAGCGCCGCATTGGCATGGTCATGGACGTCGCTCGTACGTCCATGATGCATGCGGCTGCCCCCCATTTTCTGTGGCCGTTTGCGGTCCGGTACGTGGCGCATCAGATCAACCTTCAGCCCAGGGTCTCCATGCCGGAGACCTCCCCAGCTTTGCTGTGGACGGGGAAGGTTGGCGATGCGTCTACGTTCCGTGTCTGGGGATCTCGTGCGTTTGTCCGCGACTTGTCCGCGGACAAGCTGTCCCCTCGTGCTGCTCCTTGCGTCTTCCTGGGTTTCCCCCATGACGCGCCAGGGTGGCAATTCTACCACCCCACCTCTCGCCGTGTTCTGTCCTCCCAAGGCGTCACGTTCGACGAGTCGGTCCCCTACTACCGTCTCTTCCCCTACCGCACTCCGTCCCTCCCCCCGCCACCGCTCTTCCTTGTGCCAGGTCCCCCCCCGGTAGACCCCCTCCCTCCTCAGGATCCTGCCCCTTCAAGTGTGTCCCAGGTAGACGCTGTTGAGCCTGTCGAGGTCGCTGGTGACTCTGGTGCTACTGAGGGTGCTGAGCCTGGGGGTGCTGACTCTGGGGGTGCTGTACGTGTGGGTGCTACGCCTAGGGGTGCTGAGCCTAGGGGTGCTGAGCCTGGGGGTGCTGAGCCTGGGAGTGCTGAGCCTGGGGGTGCTACGCCTGGAGGTGCTGAGCCTGAGGGAGCTGGGCCTGCTCGTGTGGCGTTTGGCGGTGCTGTGCCTGGCGGTTCTCCGGGTGCTTCGTCTCGCCAGGAGCCACTCTCTCCACAGGAGTTGTGTGAGTGGTTTGCCCTGCGCTGGAGGCGAGCTGCTGGAGCTGGAGGTGCTGCAGGTACTGGAGGTTCTGCTGCTGCTGAGGGTGCTGGTGCCGCGGGTCCCGGAGGTGCTCGTACTGGGAGTACTGGAGCTGCTGGGCTTGCGGGTACTTCTGGAGTTGGAGCTGCTGCGGGTGTTGATCGGTGGCTACTACTGTCGGTCCTGGAGGCGGTCCTGCTGGGGGTGCTACTGGTGCTGCTGGAGGTACTGGAGCTAGAGGTGCTGCTGGTGCTGGTGCTGCCGCTGGGGGTACTGGTGCTGTCCCTGCTGTGTCTGGAGTCGCCGCTCGGCCTCGGTCGTACTTCGTTCCGCTCCTTCAGTAGGTTCTTGGTCTCCCGCCTTCTACTGGTCCTCCTCCTCCCTTCGAGTGTCCACAGCCTGTCCAGTCACAGTTACAGTTACAGCCGGCCTCCCCACTGCCTGCTCCATCTCCCTACACTGGTCCTACTGGAGGTCTTGCTGAGCGTCGTGAGCCTGAGTCTCGCCCTGCGTCGCCTGTCCGTGCTGCTCGCACTAGTGGTCGCGGTTCGCGTCAGCGTCCTCCTCCTGTCCCTGGAACGCACCGGATGTCTCTGCGTCTGTCCACTGCTCCTCTGCGTGCCCCTTTACCTTCTCCTCATGAGTCTTCTCTTCCTGCTCTTGCCGACCCGGAGTCGGACTCTCTTCGTGCTGCCAGTCCTACTGTCACGC